CCCCCCCCCCGCTGGGGAGCTGGGCGGCCCCTCCCGGGGGCAGTGGGGCAGAACCTGTGGACACCTGAGATTGAGTACCCGAGAGGGGGCGGCCGGGCCGCACCCCATTTCCCTGAACGTCTCCAATGGCTTTCGGTGGGGTGAGGGGCCCCCGCGGGGTTGGGGGTGGGGACAGGCAGGGGCCTCGACAACCCCTGGTTCATCTATGGCTATTTGCACGCTTCATCCCAACCTGGAGGGAGGGGCCTGGGGGCCGAGTCTGAGCGCTGGTTAAGGGGCGCCTGTTGTGTCCCCTTCCCAAGACCCATACCCATCCCCCCAAAGCAGGGAGGTGGGGAAGGGGGAAGGGGAGCGCCCGCCAGCCACCCGCCTGGGGTCTCTGTTTAACAGATGGGAAGAGTTATCGATCATGGCTATTTACAGATGCGGGCTCCAGCCACCCCTCCGAGGCCCGGCTGACCCAAGTCCAGTCTCAGGCCCCCTCCTTGGTTTCTGGAGGGAGACAGGGGCATCTTCGGGGCCCTCGGGGGAACGCTGGAAGGGGCCGGGCTGGCCATGGCTCCCAGCCCGGCCCCAGGCCCTAGAGAGCAGGCGTGTTGCTGGTGTTCCAAGCCCGGGCCCAGCGGAGGCGCGCTCAGGGCGGGCTGGACCGGGGCCCTACAGGCCGGCGGGGGCCGGGCTGGGCGCGGGGCTGGGCGCTGGGCTGCCCGCCAGGCTGCAGGGCAGAGAGTCGCTGGGCGAGGAGCTGCGGGCGCCCGGGCGCCGGAGCAGTTCCGGGCGGAAGCCGGGGTGGCGGCGCGCGTGTTTGGTCAGGTGGTCGCTGCGGGTGAAGCGCTTGGAGCAGAGCGGGCAGGGGAAGCGCTTCTCGCCAGTGTGCGTCCGGTGGTGGCGGGCCAGCTCGTCGGAGCGCGCGAACTTCTTGTCGCAGCCCGGCCAGTCGCAGGCAAAGGGGCGCTCACCTGGATGGAGGAGGCAGAGGACAGACGGACAGCGGTCAGTGGGGAGGGGGTGGGGGGAGACAGAAAGAGGGGGACATCCCATCAGATCCCAAAAGTCATTTGTCTCACGCCCCACCTCGCCCTAGAGGCTGAATTCTGGGTGTGAATTTAAAACGTGTAAATGCGCAAAGAAAGCGACCCCCCCCCCCCCCGCTCATTTCACGAACCCCTAATGAATATTCTCGTCCCGTATTACCTAGGGTCTTGTAGTAATCACTGTGAGCATTTCCGTTGGTTAGCAGAACCTACAGACGCTGAGTTCTACCAGCAACCCCCCCCCATGGCCCCACCTCGGTGATGAGGGTCTCCTAGTGTATTTGTCACACACACGTGCATGCTCCGAGCACACGCTAGGTTTTTTGGATGGGCTTCTCGTTATGTTAACGGGCCGTGCTGTCCCCACCCCCGCAGAGCTCCTTTGTACCCCTCCTGTGGGGCATTCCACAGCCTCCCGGGGGTTGGTGACCCCAGTTAACCCCGTCCTTTTGGGAATGACCACCCGGGGTGCACAGTGAGGGGCGCGGTCTGGGCAGCTTCCCGTGCCCGACTGCTTTGCTGACCCTCGTGGCCCTCCAATGGGCAAAGGAACATGTGGAGAGCTCCCCCGGCCACCTGCAGCCCCGCAGAATCAGGCGCAGCGGCCCCACAGGCCGGTCACGGCGCGCTCGGAGGCTGGGGAGGGGCAGGGACTGCCGCCCGGCGGCTGACCGCGGGGCGAGGAGCGCGCTGCCGCCGGGAAGGGGCGGGGCCCGGAGGCCGGAGCTGCTGGACTCGCCCCGCCCCCGCGGCACGGACGGCACTGGGGAGGAGCGGGCCGCCACCCTGCGACTTCCTCCGCAGACCCCTCCCACCGCCAGGCCGGCCTCGCCCATCCTGCCCCCGCCGGCCGCCGCCATCCCGGCCCGCCTGGCCCCACCCCCCCAGCCCGTCTGGGTCTGTGCACCAGATCGGTGCCGCCCCACCCCCCCCATCTAACCGGGCCGAGCGCCCCAGCATGTGTTGTCAGCGTCTCCCCGGCCGACCCGGGGCACCAAGAGCCCCACCCTTACTCTCGGCCCACCCTGGACCCCCACGACGCCCCAGGCAAAGGGGCCGCGCGCATGCCGGAGCTTGCGCCCTTCCGGGCCCTGCGCCGGGTACCTGGGACCCTGGAACCCTCGGGCGTTGTCTCGCCCGATGTCCAGGAGTTTCGAAGGATGTGTGGATAGAATGTGGACAGGCGGGCCGGGGCGCCTGGGCTACACCCCTCGTGGCACTGATGGAGCCCCGCGTAGGAAGGGAGCCGGCCGGACCGGGCCGGGGGGCCACAGCGGGGTCAGGGTGGTCACCCCATGGGTTACAGGCTTGGGGGCCCTCGCCGGGCACCGGGGGCTGCAGTGACTCAGGGAACACGCCCACCAGTGGGGAGTAGGGGGAGACAGAAAGGGGTCCTCGGCCATGGATCGGAGAAGCGCCCCCCAACGCCGGACCGGCGGGGGGGCGGGGAGGTGATGCAGAGGTGACCAGGAACCAGCGAGAGGGACCAAAGGGGAGACTCGCAGCCGTGGGGGGACAGGGCCTGGCTTCCCAGGGGGACCCAGTGAGTGACCTCTGTGCTCTGAAAGCTCACGGCTTGCCCTGGGGACGGGGGGGGGGGGGGGGACACACCAGTGAACTTTAGAGGAGTTCCTGCCATCACCAGATGCCCAGGAAAGAGCTAGACTAAAACCTCCCCTCCCCCATCCCTTCCTCCTGGCCACACCCGGCCACCCCCAGCACGACAGAAGAGGGGGATCAGACCCTAGCAGGCCCCTCCAAGCTTTCTTGTGAGATACCTGTCAATCATGCTCACAGCTGGGGGAGGGCAGGTCCCAGGAGGCTGTGAACCCAAGTGGGCTGGTGCCACCTCCCCCGGGGGGTGGGGGGGCCGGTCACAGGCCACAACTAGGCGAGAGCAGCTGTCCCCAAGACCACAGGCGACCCCAAATCCCTGGGGCTGCCCCCTCCACACCCCATGCATCCCCCAGAACAATCCAGAAGGCAGGACCAGCAAAAGCTCAGGGAGGAGTCCCAACAAGGATTAGGGGGCTCAGAACAGCCCTGGATGGGACCCCCCACCCCACTCCGACTGCGACCACTCAGATCTGACAGCTCCCCAGGGCCGCAGTCTGGGGGAGGGGAGTCCGGTTACGGGGGCGGGGCTGCCGGCTTTAGACCAGACCCGGGGCCTGGGGGAGCGACGCCCCTCCGAGGGGCATGCGGTCCTGTCGCCATCTTGCAGGGCGCAGACGGGGAGAAGCAGAAGGGAAGGGGGGGCCACCCCACTGCTGTGGCGCCCCACAGTCGGCTCACTTCCCCATTTAGGGCGGCGGGGCTGGCCCCCCCCTCCAGTCCGCCCCGCAGTTCCACTTTGCAACGAGCTTGCAAGAGTGGTGCCAGCGCCCGCTGGGGCAGGACGCAGGCAGCCGCCGGGAACACAGCTGCCGCACGTAGCTCGGCGGCGGCGGGGACATCCGCAGCCCCAGCCGGCCCCGCTCACGTGGTCCCGCTCCCGCCGGGGGCCGGGGGGCCGGGCAGGGGTCGCCTGGCGGGTCTGGCCGCCTGCCGACCCCGCCCCACGCGCCGTTGCCGGGGAGCGCACGTGCACACGTGGGTGGCTGGTACCGCGCTGCGAGGCTTCCCGCCCCCACAACGCTGGACGAATGCCTGCAGAATGCCAGGCTCTGCCACCCTGAGTCCACTGGCCGGGAAGGGGGTAACAGTCGGGGGCTCAGAGCCGGCGCAGCCACCCGGCTGCTCCAGGTTACCTGGCTGGGCCGGGCGCTGGAGGACGCTGTGGGCGGGGCCGCGGTGGACTTGACCCTCTGACTTGGGCTGGGCCCGGGTGAGTTCGGGACAGCAGGCTGCCGTGCTGCCTTACAGACTCAGAAAAATGGAGTGGAGGCGAGCCTGGAGGTGGTACCGTGTGCCAGGCCCGGGTCAGCCTCTCGGCCTTCAGGGGAAGCGCCCCACCTCCCTGGGCAGGGCCAGGGGCCAAGGGCCGTGGGGCTGACAGCTAAGCTGCACCGTGACCTCCTGAGGTCATCCCTAGGGGTGGAGAGGGAAGTATGGCCGGCAGCTGGCCCTTGCACAAATGGTCACCTACTAGGTGGATTGCCCGGGGGAGGGGCACAAGGGGGCAACTCGGGAAAGAAAGGGAAGGCTGGGGCTGCAGTAGATGGGGGGAGCAGCAGGGAGCTTCCCAAAGCACAGTTTTGGAGATGTAACAAATAAGGATGGAAAATCGATGGTGAGGCCTGGAGGGCAGTGGGTGCCCCTGAGGCTGGCCGTTCTAATGGCTTTACAAAGACCAGCCTGTGGGAGGATCATATGCTTCATGGTCTCAAGTATCTCCTGGGCCCTGGCTGCCCCCCAACCCCAGGCTTACCACCCTCCCCGGCCCCACTACTCTTGTAGGATTCCCCTTTCAATGATTCTGCTGTTGCCACCAAAAGCTTAGGCAGGTGTCTCCCTGGCCATCTCAACCCCTCACCTCCTCACATGGTACCTGGCAGCAAATCCAGTTGGCGCCCCCTTCAGAATCTCTCCAGACTCCACCCTGCCTCTCCTGGCTCCAGCCCCCAGGTTACGCCTGGACTGATGCACTAGCCCATCAGCTTGTGCCTGGGCCGCCCAGGGCTGCCCCCTCAGTAAGTCAAAGCCCCAAGCTTTACCGTGGCCCCGCGCCCTCTGACCTTCCCACCCTCCCTCGGCTCCTCACACACCCTTTCCCACTGCCTGGACCCTCTCTCCGGTCACTTCTGTCCCTTCTCTGCTCAGCATCACCCCTCAGAGTGATCTCTCCTTACCCCCCACCGTCCCCTCTCTCGGCTTTTCTATCCTTGTGTTCAGCATCTCCCGGGTGTGATATCTGTCCCCCCACCAAAGTGTAAAGCCCAGGACAGAGGCCTGGCATGCCGTGGGTGCTTAATACATCTGTGGAAAGAGCCCACGGGCCTGGAGTGCCAAGCTCAGACTTTCAGCTGCTGCAGCAGTTAATGTGTTGGTTCGTCATCTCGTTGTGTTCCCTCACCCAAGTAGGAGCTGTCACTACCCCCTTTTATTTAAAAGCCCTGCCACCTGCAACCCCTTGTCCCTCCTCCCTCCCCAAGGACCCTGGCTCACTTCCCCACCGACATTGGTATCTTCGGCAAGAGAGCTCTTGGTGCCTGGGGGTGTAGAGGCACAGCTCCCACGGGTCCCCCAAGCACGTGTGTTCTGGAGACTGCTGTTCTGGCAACAGCACTGGGCCAGGGCGGCCCACCCAGCCCTCCCTCCCTCCCCGGGAGGCGGGCTCCCGGGGCTGGTATCATTTAGCAACTCCCGGGCCATCTGGGCCACCTTTATCAGGAGCCTGGGTGGGGGGTGGTTATCGCCCCCTGCAATGTTGGGGGCCGTTCCCCACCCCCCCAGCCGGGACACGGGCACCTGCAGCCAGTTCCAGCTGCTCTCTGCACCCTGCCTGCTGGAGTGAGGGGCCTAGGTGGGGAGGCAGTCACTCTGGGTAGCCGCTGGAGGCTCACAGGCTACCCCCACCCCCTCAGGCCTGGCACTACCCCACCCAGCACCCCCCCCCAGATAAGCCACCAGTCTCCTGAGCCCCACCTGACCCTAAGGAAGATCACAGCTCTGCCTGGGGGTGGGGCTGGGGTCTGCCAATCACTCATACAGCCCTGGGGGGCAGGGGGTGGCTACTTCCCCTGCAGGCCTCAGTTTCCCCATCTGCCTCTACTCCTGGTGTCCTCTTCAGCAAAGAATATCACCACCATTCCCCCAACCCCTCAGGCTGCTCGGTCAGAAACCTGAGGGTCACCCAGACCTCCTCCTGCACCCCACATCCTCGGGCTTTTCTCTCCCACCCAATTCACCCATGGTCCACCTCTCTCCCTCCCGCGTAGGGCCGCCCTCCTCAACCCCTCTCCCCGGTCCTAATCCTTTCTCCATAAACGGATTTTCCTCGGCAGGATTTTCCTCTGCAAAGCTGGGCCTGCCTCCCTGCCCACCCCCACCCTGCCCTTGGGATTAAGTAGAACCCTTCACCTGCTTTGCCCCCTCCTCGCTTCACACCACCACTTCATGCTCAGTACCCACGCCCCACAGCCCCTGCAGCCAGAGTGCAGCCCCCTCTCCAGGGACACAGCCCTCCCCTCCCCACCCACTCCACGCTATCTGCTGAGAGGCCTCTCCCTCCAGGAAGCCTTTCCTCCA